AACCTACTAATTTGATAATAAAACCACAATTCCAAAGAAAGCAACATGTAGATTGGGTTTTAGAGAGTGAAAAAGAAATAAAACGGAGCCTGATGATGCACTAAACAAGTAAAAAACGGAATCTGAGCTCTTGATAAACAGAAAACAATTTGGTTCAAATAAAACCAATGGCATACCCGCATATAATAATGCAAGCATTGCCAAGATCACTTCCTTGATTAAAAAGCAAGATGGCTATTCAAATTATGGATCAATGCAAGCATTGATCTAGTGCTGCACAGCTACCTAAATAAACATATAATTAATTGGTTCGATGAGATTAAATTTTTTATATGAAGTGTTTAGTAATAAAAAAAATAAAACAAATGAAACCACCAACTAAATTTAAGGTAATTTTCGGGTCAAAGTTATTCAAACAAAATACTAAGAATGAAACCATCAAAAAAGGATATCCACCCACATGATTCATCTGCAAGTAAAGAGTACAACATTACAATTCACATCACAAATGGAAGAGGCAGAGAGATGGAACCACAAATAAATATCCAAAGAATACCTGGTGAATCTTTGTTTCCTTTATGGTGAATAATTCTAGTGTACCTTCCGAAAAGAATAATTCTAGTGTAAGTTACTTTACCACCAAATGCTCCTACTTTTCATAATAAAGAGAACCACAAACTTATATTTGCATAGGAATACAAATACGTTCTCAGCTAGAATTCTGGAAAGATTAACAATATAAAGCTAAGAAAGTATCCTAGAGGTCAAGCTTGTTCATAAAAAGCATCCAAGCATTCTAAAAATATGCCAACAAAATAAAAAGCATCCAAACATTCTAAAAATATTTCCCCCATTATCACAATATTAAAAAACTCAAAAAACAAAAAAGGAAAACTCAATAAATGCTAATCTTTGGCGAAATTCATGAGAGGTTAAGGGAGAGAGGATACCTTGCGGGACATTAGGGATTGAATTGGGAGAGACATGAGGATTTGGGGATCACCAATATGGAAAAGGGATCTTTTGAATTCCTAATGGATGTTGTACCCACCTTTCAAGTGTCACCTGCATCAAGAACTTTGGAAAAATCAGCACTAATTCTGTCAACCATAATCTCAAGAAACGGGTTTGCAGAATCAACAGAACATAGAATTCGCAAGTTACAAATAAATCAAATTCCATCATATAGAAATATTAACAGTGCATTCTTTCATCCAGACCACCTTGTTCAATCACCATGTGTACCCTGAGTACATTCATAGAGAAATACCAACACTGAAGTTTGCACAGTAATTTTAATCACAAACTTAAAAAAAAACACATCACACATAGGTAACACACAGTAGAATATAAAGCTTAGGTTACAAATTTACTCTCACAAAAATTTTGCATCAAGGTTGTGAATAAACTTAATAAATGGTAGTAACCATATTTTTTTTTACGGGACAACTAAGAGTTCACTAAGTGAGTCCATTGAAAAACACCAAAGTTCAAAAGGAATTAAACTCTAATCCTTCAACAATTCAATTCAGATCCCATACACTCAAAACTACCATACCAATTCTCCGCTTAGAGTAGCCTAAAATGTACTATCAACATCTTCTATACATCCACAACCGCAAAACACCATAAAAGAAAAAGTTAATAAATCAAGTATGCCACCACAATGGCAACGAAAAGGGATCATGAAAATAATTTACACAAAAGCCAATCTTCAAATCAATAAATGCTAGAAAGAGAAATGACAATATATGATCAAGCTAAACCCAACAATGGTGTATTGCCAATTAGATTGTACCTCAAGCATTGGGTGCGACAAAATAGCCTTGACAATTCATCGAACAGGTGGTACGCAGGGGCTGGAAGGATGGAAAAGAGGGCTGTGTTTTGGGTCTACGGTGATGGAGAATGGGCGAGTGAGATAGGGGAAGGAGAAAGAAAGAAAGAGATACATTTGACGTGTTGTTGGAGTCTATGGCGTGGGCTGGCTGTTGTGTGTCTATAGTGGTTTCTGATTTGGGTATGAGTGTGAGGCAGAGGAGGAAAAAGAGAGAGGTTGGGCGTGAGTGTGTGAGGCAGATGAGGAAAGAAAGGCGGTGGGCGGTAGCTTGGGCACTTGATAGACAGACATGGGAGAGTAGAATTTGAGAGATAGAGAGAGACGTACGTAGGGGGTAGATGTATTTCAAGTGAGATAGGTCTTTCGGAGTCCTAGAATGAGAGATCACTTTGAAATTGTTACGCGGAATCTGTATGTGATAAAGAGAGGAGTCTGAGAAAGAGAGGCATATAAGAGAGAGAGAGAGTAACAGATAAAACTTTATAATTGGATCTTTTATATTGAGATTATATTGTTCGATAAATTTAAATTTATTTATATTTTATTTTAAAACGATCTGAATATATTTTTGTCTTTTAAATTTAAATTTCATTCTATTTTATTATATAAATAATTCAAATTTGTGTCATAAATGAAAAGAGGTCATTGAATTAATAAGTCGCATTTAAAAAATTGAAGACACCCACTTATCTGATGATTACCCTTTGAGATATAAATTTGGGTTATAAGTCTGGTTTAAGCTACATTTTCCTTACAATTAACCCATAATGCAAGCGCTGACGCAACGTGAAAGCATAAAGGAGCCTGGTCAACCCTGACAGTTGACACGGCCCCCCTTTCTCCTCCTCTCCCTCTTCGCCCTTTTCATCGTCTTCTTTAAATACTAGCCCAACTCAGCAGGATCTTCCATCGAGTTCATCTAATTCCAGTGGCAGTCATCATGGCTCAGGTATTCGTTTATATTATCTTTTCCTTTTCAATTATGATCTTTTCTAGCAAAATTAGGTTTATATTTACCTATTGTTACCGATGCTGAATAGGAATTGTGATTAGGGGGAAAATCTAATGGTTATTTTAGCTGAAAATTTGACAGTTTATATAGATTTGTGATAAAAAATCTGAGGATTATGTGGAATGGGAAAAACCCATGTCTGGATTAGGACCGTCGTGCTGGTTTGCTATTGCCTGTTTCCGAGCTATATTTGTAATCTTATATTTTAACCATTATTTTAATTTCATATTTCTCGAATTTCACGTAATCCTAAAGCTTTGTGTGCTGAGGATTCTGTTTGGTAAAGAATAATAATGAATTTGTGAACACATGGCATCGAATTGTACTGTTAGTAATTGATAGGCTAGTATGTGTTGTAGATTTTTGTTTTGTGTCCTAAGTTGTTCTCTGGGATCTGTAGTGAATGCTTTTGTGAATGAAGTTTGATTACTCAGTTTGGTCTCCATTAGTTTCTGGTGCTGAGAGTGAGTATACAAGGCTAACCTTTTGACTCCGGCTCCCTCAAAGCCTATTTGTTGATGCCGTTGCATTTCAAAAAGTAACGTGGTGTGTGTGCGTGTGTCCACATGCATTCTTGTGAAATTAAGCTATATTGGCTGGGATTATGAAGTATACTCATCATCTTTCTTTTCACTGAAATTGCAAAGGTTGTATTTGAAAGATTGTTTATGTATTGTTTGGTTATGCATTGGTCTATGTGGACCCTCCTTAGAGGTATATGTTACTTAGAAGGAACACATGGTTTAGATTTATAGCTTCTTATGTTATATGTTGGTATTTGGATTGGGAAGGGTATCTAAGCCTCAAACAATTGCTTGGTTTTTTAGCCTCGCTCCTCGTGAGAGGTTGTTTAAAATTTAATATTGTAAAAGAAACTTGTATCTTAGCTGAATACCTTAATATAGTGCTATACCCTCTTTTTCATTGTTCTTCAAAGGTAAAAATTAATCCAATCACATCTCTCTCTCTCTCTCTCTCTCTCTCTACATGTTTGCATGTGTGCAACATCATTTGTGTGCAAGTGCATGAAGGATGAAAGTTGGTGATATTCTCTAGCATTATGGATTGCAATGCTTCATTGAGATAATTAGTTCCTTGATCTTTGCCTTTTATGTATTAGTTTTTTTCTGCATGCAGACTGTTGTCCTCAAGGTTGGCATGTCATGCGAAGGTTGTGTTGGGGCCGTGAAGAGGGTTTTAGGAAAAATGGAAGGTTTGTGAGCATTTGTGTTGTATCTTGTGTTCAGTGTTTCTAACATATGATGGCTTACTAGCATCAGACAACTTGTGATTTACAACACTAGCTCTACACAGTAAATTTTTTTTCCACCTATTTTTAATTATTTTCTCAGATGCTGTAGTAGGATATAGCTATAAGATTTGTAATAAGGCCACATACTAGTATGCCTTAGCTGATATGTGTCCCTTATTATAGTTGAAACTTTGTATTTTTGCTAATTAGGTTCACATTCTCATCCAGTATATACATGAAAAGACCGCACACTACTGTACCACAATACCATGTTGAATATTTTATAGAGATAAGTATACATTTCATGCACGTGGAGATATCACTCCTGTGAATGTACTAGTATATATTGGACATCATGATGGTGGTCTCTATCTCTTCACATGAAGTGTATATTTTTCTCTATAATGTATTCAACATGGTAGTGTAGTACAGCAGGTATCTACATCTGGCAGTCTAAAAAGAGTAGCAGCAGCATCCATTAACTAAGAAACATAATCTAAATTAGAAGACTAATGGGTCAACTGACCAAATAAGGCCAATCCAACTTGTACAAGTAGAGCCTTGTACATAGAGTGATGTGTGTATAATGTGTGATTTTGGTTGATTCTTTAAAGATCTTCCATTAATTATCCTAAGCTTTTCATTTGGGCTGCATCTGCAATGGGGGAACAATAAGTCCTTGTTTCTGCCCCTGCTTGGGGTTTGGTGATAGTTTCACTTTTCAAATACCGATATATAAAACATTTGGTAACAGAGACCCAGCTATTTACTTACTCGTTTAGCTGAACTGTCTATTGTAGTGTTGGCTCTTAAGTGGTTTCCGTTGACAACTAGCGATGGTTTTTGAAAATGTTTGTGGGTATATTTCATATAGTGACATAGAAATTTGGACATAGGGTTTTGGTTGAAGGCTAAATTACAATTTTACATTCGCTCTACAAATGAGAGATTGTAAAACTTAAGTAGTAATAACCAATAAGTATTAGCACTCTGAGTGGTTGAAAATTGATTTACATACATGCACACTATCACATTAGTTAATTTTCTCATCAGCTCCTGCTGGGGAATCATCACTGTGATATGGTTTTGTTAATACCGAGTTGTTGCATCCCTTTTGAACCATCCTCAGGTGTAGAATCGTTTGACATTGATTTGAAGGAGCAGAAAGTTACAGTGAAAGGCAACGTTCAGCCTGAAGCAGTTCTCCAGACTGTTTCTAAGACTGGGAAGAAGACTTCCTTTTGGGAAGCAGAAGCCAAGTCCGCCGAGGCTGTTGCTTAACACACTTCTCTTAATTGCTTTATGGATTGAAGTGCATTTCACGGGTTTAGATTGGTGACTTTATTATGAATATGCCGTGGCTACGTTGTGTTTGGCAAGTCTGTAAGCTACAATAATATCTTGCATGCGCGTCGTATGTTATTTCCTGTGCCCTTTAATGAACAGAAAGTGATTGTTTTACTACTAAATATGTATAGAAAATGTATTCCTTGGTAATTTCTTCTACAATGATATATTACCCATTTGCTTATGCCGGTAGCAGAAAGCAAAGAAAATAAAGGTTTAAGGTTTCACTAAGGTATAGGAGGAGAGGACGGAAAAGGTTGCTAGAGTAAAACAAGTTTAGAATCAAGGACAACACTAGGGTCCAGATACCAAAAGTTAATATTTTTTAGGATTTAATTATCACTTTTAAAATTGAAACTACAACTGCTTGAGTTAATTCATTTCATTGTAGTATCCAATAAATTTAGGACATGTGTACACATCATGAGGAGACAAATGATAACAGTTTATACTTTACATGGTAATGGAGCCCAACAGGATGTAGCTGGAACGGGCAAGAACCACAGTTCCGTGACAACAACCAGTGCTGTGGCACGCACCACAGTTCCATGACAGCCCTATGTTGCGGCAGGCACACAGCGACAGCACCTTAGTGTGGCAGCATGCGCCTAGTGCTGTAAAAAGGCGGGATACATCCTTATCACATTGAAAGTAGCAAAATGGACCCTTGACTAAAGACGGACAAAAGTGGCAACGCAGAGGTCTGGGGGCAATATTGGTGTGACCAGCTTCCCCCACTGCGAAAACATGACACAAAACTGGGATTGTACAGTCGACAGAATTGGTGTGCTCCACTTATTGGACACAATTGTTCGACTGGGCCACTAGACTAAGTGGAGGGATCCCCACCTAGGGACAAGGCAATATGACTCTCCTCAAGGGATAATTGAACAACGAGGGCGGACGAGCATGATTGTCAACATTAGCCTAGGGTAAGATCTCAATGATTTAGTTTGCTTGAGTAGGGCTCTCAGTGTATGACTCATTATCCACTAGGATGATGTGTTGACTGGAATCCAGAGGGACTCCTAAAATAGCTAGAGTTAATGGTGTTGATCAACATATGTAATAATAGGACATATGGATTGGTGGCTGAAGAATCGAAACTATATGAGTTTCCTCTATTGCGTACTTAGACAAAAGTCTCGAGGAAGGGATTGAGAAAAGGAAGGCAAGATCCCACGTAAGAGTGTGGTAGGGGCATCGCGTACATGACCTTGTCAAGGTCATGGTCTCGCCATAATCAATCATGATCATTAACCTTGGGAGACTTTTTTTGTATCGGCTATCACACTCATTGAGAGCCTCGTCTAAGCCGTGTTTGGGAAAACGTTACATCTTCCTAGTAAATGTTGGGGCACGGGACTCACGATTAGCAACTACTAACATCGCTACAATCGAGACAGTTATGAGTTGGTACGAATGTTAGAGGGCAGCCCGGGCATTACTTGTCCACTTTAAGAGTGAGATTTTGACTTGGTTGGTGAGAGCATTTACTCGACCAACCCATTGCCCAACTAGTTAGTTCATTCATTAATAGACTACTTGAGTTCTTTCCATTTCATCCACTTATCTTACTTATCTCCTTTAATTACCCTCGGTAATAACATGTGTGTCAGCCTCTATTGGACTAGACTAGACAGTTGTTGAACTGGATTGTTGATTGGACAAAAAAAAAAATTCAACTAATCGTCGATTACCGTGACAGTCAAAAAGTCACATTTCAATCAATAGCCAAGAATACATCAATTAAACAAATAAATTTGGTAACACATACCACTGAGGTTGTAATTATTTTCATAAAGAATTCATTCAAATTATAAATATTTCTATAAAAGTGGCAATTATTATTATTTTTTACAATATATCAAATTTATTATTTTTTTTTATCTCCAAAATATTTACGATGTATCCTAAGATCTTGTGATCTATCGCAAGGTTGAAGTAGTCTCTCCCAAATTTTTTTGAAAAACTGTAAGTTTGTGATCTATCAAATCTCTCCACAATCGATCAAATCTCCCCATGAAGTTGTAAAGATTTGAATCCATTTAATTTGTAAAGATTTTCACAAATTTGATAAATATATCACTGAAGTTGTAAATATTCTCACAAATTTGGTTAATATACCACTAAAGTTGTAAATATTCCCACAAATTTGGTAAATATTCCCACAAATTTTTTAATTTTATTCATTACTGTTGTAAAATTTTCACTAATGTTGTAATTTTGTTTACTATAATCCTAAACTTCCCACTAATGTTGTAATTTTGCCCTCGATTAACTTAATTGTAGCTAAAAAATATGTCTTGTCTTGTCATTTCAATGTCTTATCTTGTCTATTAATCGGTGTAAATATATCATCAATTTAGTAAACATTCCATTAATGTTGTAATTTGGAATTTTCGGTTAGGTACCGAAAATGCCCTTGGATGTACCGTAGCCTTCTCCTTCTACTAATACCATCTGACATGTCATTTCAATGTCTTGAAATGTCTACCAAACCAGTACCAAACAAGTTATCGGTTTACTCTTTGTCAATTTTTTTTTTTTAAAAGATACATTAATCAGCGCTTCACTTTTGGTCTACCATAGATCAACGGTGGACATTGAATTTTGGTATGGTACCAAAATTCTCAATGGATGTACCGTAGTCGGGTCCAAACATACCATTAATGTTGTAATTTGGAATTTTTGGTTAGGTATCGAAAATGCCCTTGGATGTACCGTAGCCTTCTCTTTCTAATAATATCATCTGACATGTCATTTCATTGTTTTGTCATGTCTACCAAACAAGTTGTCGGTTCATTATTTGTCAATATTTTTTTTTTAAAAGATACATTAATCAACGCTTCACTTTTGGTCTACCATAGATCAACAATGGACATTGAATTTCGCTATGGTACCAAAATTTTCAATGGATGTACCGTAGTCGGGTCCCCCAGTCAATAGCCAAGTCACAGCCCAATCAACAAGCCTTAGTCACCATGTTGACCAATCAATATGCCACCTAACATCCACATTAGCGCGAGCATCAGCTTATTCATTAGCCTACCGCATTGACTTGACAAAGCGCCACATGGATAGCTACGTTGACCAATCAATGCCCATAATTTTTTTACTTTGTAGTGATCAATGCCAATGAAAAAAAAAATTGGTGACAATTATACGGATTTTGACAATCACAAGTGGTACATCGGTGGAATCGAACTCCCTACTTCAAAACTTTTCCAAGAACGAAAATACCTAGGTCTCAACGGGGTATGCACATAGTGACCATCAAAGGAAGACCCATGCGTGCAGGGACCAAGGGCCAACTGACCACAACAATACTTTCAACAATGGAGAAATAATGATAAAAGACTCGAGTCCACTTTATATATATATATTTTGCTTTTTAGCAACACCACGATCGGCGCACAAACAACAAATATAACCAATCGATAAGTGTAGAGAGACTACGGTGTGCATGCATAAGATGATTCCTGCAACCTAACACATGCATAGACAAATGTAGTATCCCATAAATTCAGAACACATATCCACATCATGAAGGGACAAATGACAAGAGTTGATAGCTACATGACAGTGGCGCCCAACAAGATCCAGCATAAATGGGTATGGACCACAGTTCCACGATAGGACCTACTATTGTGGCATGGCCACGACATCACCCTAGTGCCATGGCAAGCGCCTAGCGCTATAGGCAGGACACATCCTCAACACATTGAAAGTGTCAAAACAGACCCTTGACTAAAAATAGACAAGAGTGGCATCGCGGAGGATTGGGGGCAACCTTGGCATGACAGGCCTCCCCCGCTACAAAAACAGGGCACAAGACTGGGATTGCACAACCGATGAAATTGGTATCCTTAGCTTATTGGACATTGTTGCTTCACTGGCCCCACTGGACTAAGAGGAGGGGTCCCCACCTAGGGACATGATAGTATGGCCTTCCTCAAGGGATGATAGAGCAACGGGGGCAGACGAGCATGATTGTCAACCTTAGCTTGGGGGATGGTCTCAAAGATTTAGTCTACTCGAGCTACCCTTACAATGTATGCTTGATTACACACTATGATATGTTTAACTGGGATTTGGGGGGACTCTTAAGTTAAGTGGAGTTATTGGTCTGGATCAACATATAGAATAATGGGATATGTGAAATTGGTGGCTAAAAGAACAAAACTATGTGAGTTTCTTCTATTGGGTTTATTAACAAAGGTCTTGAGGAAGGGGTTAAAGAGGGAAGGGAGGATCCTGAGTAGGAGCACGCTGGGGGTATTGTGTGCATGGCCTTCTCAAGATCATGGTCTCGCGATGACTAGTTGAGATTATTAATTTTGGGAGCTCCCTTTTGCTTGGGCTGTCGCACTTCTCTACGAGAGGTGTGTCCAAGCTATGTTTGGGAAAATATCATATTTGCCTAGTTAATGTTTGAAAATGTGGCTCGCAGTTAGTAGTTACTAATATTGTTGTAGTCGAGGCAATTATGGGTTGACGTGAGAGTCAAAGGGTCACGACAAGTAGCACTTCAGGCAAACCAACCTTTCTAGGCACAGTGTTATAAATACCTGCATTACTTTCCAACTGCAGGAGAGAGATTTTGACTTGACTGATGAGAGCATTTGCTCCACCTATCCTCTATCCAACTGGTTGGCCATTTCGTTAATTAACTACTTGAGTTTATTCTAACTCACTCACTTATCGTACTCACCCCTTTCAATTATCCTTGACATAGGCACGTTTGTTAGTCTTTTTTAACTCTCCATTTACATTCATAAAGGATTATGAATTATTTCAATCGGTTATTGTGACGTCTCTAAAACTGGGGGTCATTATTAAATCCGTTGACCACCTGTTAACCTGCGAAAATGCCTGTGAGTGCCACATAATCCGACATCACGTCAATAGTATCCCTTGATCAGGAATTGTAACCTACACATGTAACCCGTGTGTATTTTATTATTAAATCCAATCGAGGTTCAACATACCCCAACATGTCTCATTTAATGTCATTTGTATCATTGGAACCAAGGAAAACAAGTCCAAAAGCATCGCACTTTAGTTTTAAATTTTCAAATTTTGGGAGACAATACCAGTACGCAGTACCAATACTCTTTTTCTTCTGGGTAGACAGTACCAGTATTGTGTACCGGTACTCTTTGGACAGACAGTACCGGGACGCTCTGTACTCTGGACCCAACCGTACCGGTATACAGTACCGGTACTCTTTGTC